TAGAGAATCAGAGTTTTAATGTCTATAGGATCTTTAGGGCTCTCATTCCATGTACTGGTAATTTGTCTCTTTATTTTTTGATTAATTTTGTTAAGAGCTTTGTAGGGTGTGCAGAAGCAGGCTCTGCCCCAGATCTGGCCCATGGATCATTTTGCTGACCTCAGCTTAGATCACTAACTCTTCTTTTCTAATAAAGGAATGAAAAAGCTATAAACTTTTCTTCTAAGAATACTTTATCTGTATCCCATACATTTTAAAATCCTATGCTGTGTTGATGGATATCAGCCAATTAATAGCTCTAAGCAATTAGTATTGTTTATCTATGGAGATAACATATGGGCATTACTGAGTATTATTCCAACAAAATTGCTAACAAATGGATTTTTGGTTCTGTGAGAGACAAGGGATAATATTAATATAACAATCTAAGAAAATGTAGTCACATAAATATACTGTCCCAACTAGTTGATAAACTGATATAAATTCTTACAATTTGGCAATATTCTTTTTGCTCTTCTAGCTAGGAAAAGCCAGTCTGCAACATCGAAAAATGTTTATCAGGATGAGAAAATTACAGGGATTTTACAGCACCTTATCAAGTATTGATTTGGTGCCACCTGCTGGGAGGCAGAAACGGGTTTCCAGCATCCTCAAAGGGTGAGAATTATGACCTTAGAAGCTGTAAAACTTTGCCTATAGCATAAAATGAAACATAATATAGGTACCTTTGGGCCTGTAAGAAATCAATAATTCTAGAATAAATTAACTGCATATAAAAATATGATCTATGTATTAAAATGGGAGTGTATTCTTTTCCATCTAAGAGAAATCAGATGGCATATTTGCATTTACCATGAAATGATATACAATAAAGTTCCTTAAAATGGTGAGCTCCTCAGGTACTGATTGTGTATTTCTGTAAAGGTAATTCATCACTTGACTGGGGCTAGTGGAGGAGCTTAAGATGTGAAGAACCACTGCTAAATGAAGATTAGTAAAAAAAATAAAACTAAATCTAATGATAACATTGATTGTCATAGGCAGAATAGTAGCCCCTCAAAGACATCCATGCCCTAATACTCAGTGCCCAGAGGATGAAGCCTTGCACCCAGAGACCGGAACCAGGAGCCACAGAGGATTATACCTAGGCCTTGAGACTTAATGGAGACTGCCAGATTGGATTTGAAATCGTATGGGCCTGGGACTCCTTTTTTCCTTCCACTCTCTCCCTTTCTGAATGGGAATGGTTATAACTGCTCTCCTGTGTCTCCTCCTCCACCATTGAGAACTGGTTTCCTAGTCTCACAGATTTAGAATAGAAAGGGATATCTGCACCAGCATGGATTATACTCACCTATACCTAATTTAGACTTAGATGATACTTGGGATTTTTGAGATTTAGATGAGAAGCTGTCACGGGTTTAACATTTGAGGGACTTAGAGAGGGGATGAATCGATTTTGCATGTGAACAGATGTGAATCTTTGGGAGGAAGAGGGCAGACTGGGGCAGGCAGAACAGCCCCTCCCAAAGGTGTCCTCACCCTAATCATCAGAATCTGTGAATAAATTACCTTATGAGGAAAAAGGGACTTTGAAGATGTGGTTAAGGCTAAGAACCTTGAGATGGACAGATGAGCTGGGTGGGCCTAATTTAATCACCCACATCCTTAAAATTCTTTGACCAATGTTACTGGCTTTGAAATGGAAGAAAGGGGCCCCAAGCCAAGGAATGTAAGTGGCCTCTAGAATTTGGGAAAAAGCAAAGCAACAGATTCTCTCCTAGAGCCTCTGGAAAGGAAGCAGTCAGCTGACATCTTGCTTTTACTCCAGTGAGACATGTGTGGGACTTCAAACCTGCAGAACTTTAATATATTTGTGTTCTTTTAAACCACTAAGTTTATGGTAATTTTTTTACAACAGTAATAGAAAATGAATCTGGTAATAACAGCTAACAGTTACTATGTTCTAGCACTACAGCACTACATCTATCTCAGATGATAACTCTCTTATGAAAGGAAGATAAAGCACCCTGAAATCATATTACATAATCTGGCCTTGGTTACCTCTCTGACCTCATCTCCTGTTGCTCTACCTCTTGCTTCTATCACCCATTCACTCTGGTCTCCTTACTATCTTTTAAGCATGCCAAGCAAGCTGTCCCCTTTTTTTAGTATGTGCTTTCCTTAGATATCCACAACTCACTCCTCACTTTCTTCAGGTCTCTGCTCAAACGTCATCTTCTCAGTGAGGCCTTCTTCTTTGTCCACCCTCTATAAAATCTATACCCATCCTTACCTGGCACTCCCTAACCCCTAAACCCTAGTTTATTATTCTAAATAGCACTTTTAATCATTTGATATGTATTTACTTGTTTACTCGGTTTTTTCTTGCTCCCTAAATATAAGCTCTATGTGGCCAGGGGCTTTATCTGTATTGATGACAGTTGTATCTCCAGAACCTAATACAGCGCCTGGCACATAGTAGTCACTCAATAAATATTTGTAGGACTAAAGGAACATTTTCAAAACAATTGACAGATTACAAGAATTCATTTATGCTAAAATTCTAACGCAGAATACACATCATGGAGCAGGGCAGATACACATTAACATTACTTTGGTTGGCAAATGGACCTCAGTGTACAGATTCAATATCATGCCTTGAAGAATGAGATCATTTCTCAGATGACTTCCTACAGTTTATAAGATTTATAATCCTACAGATTATAAGAAAACTAGTATATAAATGAATTTTGCATTTTCCTATAAATAAGCATAACCAAAACATTTTTAAAAGATAATTACTAGCTACATTTTTCCCAACTTTTTAGTCTTGAAAAATTTCAAACCTATAGAAAATCTGAAAGAAAGAACCACAATTAACACAGTGCCATATTTTCTCTCTGCACACACACTTTTTGTTTTTTGGCCTGGACTATGTGAAAGCAGTTTGCAGATATCATGACCTCATCCCTAAATACTTCAGCATGCATCTCCTAAGAACAAAGGCCGTTTTCTAATAATCACAATATTATTATGCCTGAGAAATCTAAGTTAACAACATATCTATTATGCTTCCATGTTCAAATTTCCCCAACTGTCCACAGAATGTCCTATATAACTTTTTAAAAATCCATATTCCTATCCAAATCATGGTTGCCCATTAATGGAGATCAGTCCTTCTGTCTTTCGTTGTCTTTCATGATATTGACATTATCGAAAAGTCCAAACAAATCACATTCTTAACTTAACTGAGTGTTTCCTCATAGATTCAGGCTAAACGTTTTGGCAAGAATGCTACATCAGTGTACTTCCAATAATTTGTGTTTTCCTCAGTATTGATGCTAGAAATTTTTTCCTCGAAGCAACTATTAACTTTTTGCAAAGTACTAATGTTCCAAGAACATGCTTTAGAGAACACTTGGATAAGGAAAAAAAAAGTGAAATGCACAAAAATGTTTAAAAGTTTGAAGTTAAAAAGCAGGTAAGGATTGTAAATCATTTTTAAATTACAAACTTCATTTCCTTAGGTAATGCAAACTCAGCTTTCAAGTTTAACACATACCAAAAAAACCGCACAAAACATTGTACAGGTGAGCAGCACCAAGCTTAAAGAAAGGAAATAACTTCTCCCAAGTTCTATCCTTATTCTATTTACTGTGTTCAGGAGCTGAGACCTAAAACCAGGTCTGAGTGCTTACATGTTCTTTCCACCAGACCCCCTGCTTCACTTAGCCTGTTTTACTTTCTGTAATTGACTATTCTTGGGTCTACAATTACTCTGGGATGTAAGTGGTGGGCGGTCTTTTAGTCTAAATAATAATAATAAAGATGCTAAGGAAGACGAATCCATTTTTTATTGTTCCATATTCAGTAAGAACCAATTCATGGCAAGTAATTGAGGAATGCCTAACCCCTCCCAAATGCATGCAATTATGCAAATCATATGTGGGGACTGGGGGCTTGGCTCCAGGCGCTAATTATAATATAGCCCCCATTTATGACTATTTCTATTCGCCGTAATTTGATCCTTTGCTATTGCCTTATGATGCTGTCTTTATTACACTACAGCAAACATTTGGGAGACATCAGTTTTTCCTAAAAGTCCTGGAACTCAAACTCAGGTTTTTCTACTTATTACAGGATTCAACAGTTTTTCAAAAAAAATGAGTTACCATTCTTAGCCGCAGTGAGGTAGCAAATATTAAGCATGTTTGTTTTCACCCATTTCAGGCGAAAGCCTCTCGCCCTCTGACGACTTTCCAAGGGCGGTGAGCGTGAGTCCTTGCTTTTGGTACAACTCACGAAATATTAATCAATACAAATGTGTAACTTTTAAGAGAAAAAACTGCGAGCCCTTCCGCCGTTTAAAACCACGCCATGCTTAAAAGCTTGAGTTGTACAGAACGTTGAGCATTTACTCCCACAGGTTGGAAATTGCTTTGCGGAGTTTGAGTTCCCTTAAGTTCACCAGACTGTCAAACGTCCCCATGTCCCGCCCTTCACCCCATACTTCTTAGCTTCCAGGGAGAGTTAGGAAGAGGTCTGCGTCTCTGGACCGCCGCAGGATGCGGGGGCTGGGCTGGACTCGGGCTCCATCTCCTGGGCTTCGCGGAGCGCCAAGCCCGGGAGAGGATGGACATTACCCTCGACCTTCGGAGGCGATCTGGAGCTAGAGGAGAGGAAAAGCTACCCGTGAACACCGTCAAGCGCCCTCCCCAGCTGCACTTCCTTGACGGCTGCCCGGCGCCCCGCGGACCTCCCTACGCTCCGCGGGCCCGCAGGCCTTCAAGGCTCACAGGCCCTCCGCCACATAACTCGCGGCCAAGTCCGCCGGGACCCAGGCCACACCCCACGCCGCCACCCGGTCCCCGGCCGCTCCCCTTACCCCACGCGCCGGCAGTGGGCACTGCGCCTGCGCGCCCGCGAGCGCGGGGCGGGGCGAATCGGCCCGGCGGAAGGGGCGGGGCGGGGCGGGGCTGGGCTGTACTTCCGTGGTCGCGGGTGGGTGAGTAGGGGCTGGGGGTAGCGCGCGGCGTCCGGAGTCCGGCGGGGTTCCCGCCTCGGGTCGTCGGGGAGCCCATGTCGGCGTCGCGGCGCCCCCTGGAGGATTTGGGGAGGGGGAAGGAAGAAGAGACTATTATTGAGTTGGATGATGTCGGGGGTGCGGGAAGTGTGTGGACAAGCAGGCGTTGGCAAAATGGGTTCAGAGGTTGGTTTTCTCCTTAGAAAGGAAATTCTCTTCAAACAGCGTTTTAAAATTTTCATCATTTTGGACAGGCTTGTGAGTTTACCGTTGTGCCTCAGTAAGGCAGTTTTGGTAAGGTGGCTGGTCCCTTGCCGCTGCCAAACCTAATGGTTAACCAGAGGATGGGTCGGAAAAAGGCACAATAGTCCAGGTTAGCTACTACCAAAGAGGGAAATTAAAACTCATCTTTTATGGAATAAAATCCAGGATATAAAAATAGGGTGCAGAAAAAAAATAGGGTTCAAACCGAAAGTCACAAACAGCAACTGGGTTCTGTCAAATACTGTGCCGGGCGCGGACTAGGTCTCTTCCAGCAGACATACTGTATTCAGATAATTTGGTTTTATCATTAGAAAATGAAAGACAATCTAAGCCAGAATGACCTGAAAAAATTTAATTATCTTGAGAGTTGTGCCTTAATACATATACTTTGGAAAACAAACACTACTATAGCTTTTCCAAGTTGGTAGAAAACCAAAAGTTTCCCGAAAGCCTGTGCAGATTCCTAATCATTTTGGGGTCTACAATGTCCAGAATGTTCTTTCATGTAGTAAAAACTTCATATCGTTTTGTGTGCAAGGTAATAAGAACCAGACAGTTCCGTTCCTTTAAGGGCTGTATTCTATTAGGAGAGACAAAGAAACGTGAAAAGTTATATAATGGTAAGAAATGTAAGTTACAGCTTGAGATATTTGAAGATATCGAAAATCCTTTATTTGGCATGGAAAGTGCTGGTGAATGCTTGAAATGAGTACCCCTCAGCTGATTGTTGCCATGTGGGAATGTGGGTCCCTCATACACAGATATGATTTTCTCCAACACAGGCCAAAAATCTCTCTCTTTGTGCTTTTTCTTGATTTTTAATATTGTTGGCAACCTGCAGTTATGCACTCACACACCCTCTGTGGGCCAGGAACAGGGAGTTTGTGACATCTGCAGACTATCACCTGAGTACTCAGAAATAATTGGAATCAAAAGAGCAAGAAGTTCCTGGAAACTGATAGGAAGGGATTTAAGAAAACTGGGGTTTAAGCTGGGTTGAAATGGAGAGGTGTCATGGAGGGGAAGGATGTAACGAGTGAGTAAAATCTCAGTGGGGAAAGCGAACAGCAGGTTTGGAAGATAATTAGTTAACTCTCCTTAGGAGAGGTCTGAGAAGGCAAGTGCAGTAAATGGAGGAAAACTGGTTTGGGAAACCCTTCAATACCAGACTGGACTTTATCCTCCGGCACTGGTTCTCAAATTTGAGCTTACATCAGAATCACCTGGCAGGCTTGTGAGACGGTGGCAGGCTTGGCCTCCACCTTCAGAGTTCTTGATTCCGAAGGTCTGGGGTGGGGCTTGAGAATATCCCCTTCTTACCAGTTCTCAGTTGATGGAGATGCTACTGGTCTTGGGAGCACACTTTAAGAACTACTGTCCTAGGGTGTGGGAAACTATTGGAGGAATTTGAGGTGGATTAGTAAGGAGATCACATTCATATGAGTCTTGCTCATTCAGACTCATTCAGTATGAGTCTTGCTGTGACATCCAAGATGCAGGACTGGGGAAGAGAGAAAAGAAGGTTCCTTAGAGTTGATTAACGCCTGTCGATGCCAGGCCCTCTCATGCACGCAATTTCATTTCATACTCACTTTGACCTTGATGTGTAAGTCTTAATATTTTCATATGGAGAATAGTAGAGACTGCCCAGGTCCCATAGCTAGTCTCAGAGCCCCTTAAGACTGGTTCAGGTTTGAACTAGGGTAGTAGCAGTGGAAATGAATCAGGACATTGACTGGTGATGGAATTTAGAAAAATCAAGACTTCCTCAGAAGATTGAAACCTGAAAGTAGAAATTGGGAAATAGTCTTAATAGAGAGTGATAAAAGGTAAAGTGGACAGAGAACTTTAGAATATTCCCTGCATGAATTAAGTATGTGTTCTGTATTACTCTGCTATAACAGCGACCTATTTAAAAGCTGCTTGTTTAAAAAGTCATTCTGTTCTACCAAAATTTCCTGAAATTATTTGAAAAGAAGAAAGTAAAGCCTCCTGTGGGGACGATGGGAGATGGTAACCAGATTAATGGCATCTGACAACTTATCTTCACATCAAAAGTGATTAGCATTGAGGAATAGAAACACATGGTGTAAACACTGCTTCGCCTGTATGAACTGTGCTGTGCCGCAGACACTGACCTAATGTATTGATTTTGGAAATCCTGGATGCTTTTTCTTGCCAGAGTAGTTATTGAAATTGAGAATATTCATTGGATCAATTTCAAGACAAATATTCCAAGTCAGACTGGCTGCTGCCGAGCAAATTTTTAATGAAGGAAAACATCCATATACTGAAATAGATTTTAAGAAGGAAGTCCTAAAAATATATTTATACTGTGAAATCTAGAAAAATGTAAGTTTTCAAACACTGATCAACTGAGTAATCAGCATAATGGAGTTATTGACCCATACAAAACTATAGCATACATTCATTCATTTATTCTGTGAGCCCTAAACTGTGAGCCATAAACTGTGGATCCAACGATAACTCGGTCTAGGCAAGACTGACATCTTAAAAAATGGTCACAAAACGATGTGATTAGCACTGTAATAGAGGGATGTGACCAGTACATGATGACAGGAGATAGAAATGCTGACTGAAGGGGTATAGAAAGGAGGCCAGGGAACTGTCTATAGAGGAGGAGACGCTTGAGTTGGTCTTGACAGCTGAGGAGGAATTTGTGAGATGATTAAGGCATTCCAATCAGAAGGAACATCACGGACAATGACCAAGATGTATAAAAGAGTGTGGGTTTTTCTGGAACCTTTGTGCAGATCAGAATAGTTACAGCAATATGGTAAAAGTGGAGGAGGGGGATGAGTTAAGTTGGAGAAGTAGATAAGAGCACTCATAGAGAGTACGAAAGATTTATGTAATGACTGGCTTGGCTGGATTGTAAACTTCATGATGTTGGGAGCCATGCTGGACCTGTACACGAGTGTATTCCAAGGCCTTAGCAGAGTGCCTAGCATATGGTAGGTTCTCAATAAATAGTTGCTGAAAGAATGAACAGGTAAATCATAGAAAACAGTTTTTTTAAGATAAGATAGAGGGAACTTTTAAAGTGTTTTAAGCAGTGGAGTAATATCGTCAGATTTACATTTTATGAGGATAAGTGGCAGTATGGAAGGAAGATGGTTAATAACGACCATAGAAATGGCTATAGTAGTTTCTGCCTATTGGTAGATTGCAATCTGCATTTTAAGAAAAAATAGAAAAGAGTATTAGAGGATACCACATGTAATAGGGTTAAATAATATTTTATGAAACTTTTATTTTAGTTATATGTATGCCTGTGTGTTGACTGATGTAAGTGTATTTTTTCCTATGGACTTTGATGCGAGTTTGAAAGTCATTATAGTAATGTGGACATGATGGTGGAGAGAATGGAATGGATATAAAAGATATTTTGGAGGAAAACAAATGTGGAAAACTAGCACCTTAAAATGCTGCTGTCCATATGAACCCTCTTGCAGGGAAGGGGATGCACTTACCCAACCTATTTCAGTATTTTTGCTTACTTGATGTTTTTCATTATATATTAATAAGTTGACATTCTGGTTTATTAGGAATGGCGGTGCTTTGAAGCATCTTACTGTGTGTTGTAAATGCTGCAAAATTTCTCTTATTTTGGTAGTGCTCAGTTTAAAATTGTAGGATGAAGCCATACTCTTAAGAGTTGTGAAAATTCATTGAAACAGTTTGATTTGATTATTGGCCAGGTTATTAGATTTCTTTCCATAAGAAAGCAGGAAAAGCTGCTTAGTTACATGAGTGGGTGGGAAGGCCTTCTCCCTACCTGCATGACTTTGCCACTCCAGTAGACTTAGTCTGTTCTGCCTGCGACATGTAAATAAGGGCAGAAAGGTGTTCATACAAGGCAGTTATATTGGCTTTTAAAAAATTTACGAACTCCTTTAAAATCTGGTTGATGTGGTTAAAATGAGTTTAACTATGTTGGGCACTTCGTTGTCAGGTGTGAATTATTCTGTGGAGCAAGAAAACATTTAAAAGTTTTAGAAATTTGGTCTGTTCTGTCACCTAATACATTATTGGGATCTCCTACTGATAAGGTTTGCACAGAAAATGTAAACTAATTTTTCATCTTGGCCTAAGGGGGGAAAAAAGAGAGAGAAAGAAAAAGAAACAAAATGAAGATAAACAGCCTGCCATAATCATTCCATACTCAAATGTGGAGGGTTATTTGGTGTTCCCTTAATGTGGCATGACTCCACTCCTCTTTTTATACGAGAATCTAGAGTTGACACCAAGATCTGGAATTAATAAAAGGGCATATTTTAAATCGAATCCATTCTTTGCTCCACTTGGGGAGGGGCAGAGTTACTAATATCTATTTCCCTCTTAGCCAAAGGAGCTTTCCTTTATTCTAAAGCAATTTATTAAGACAAAATGCCACAGAGAGTCAAAAGACCTGTGTTTGAGTCCTGGCCCTACCACTGGTTATTGACTGTAGTCACCTAACTCGCTCTTGGTTTCCCTTTATTAAATGAGAATAGTCACAACTATCCAACTGTCCTCATGGAATTGTCTGGGAGAATAAAGTGAAATAAAGTAGTTGAAAATGGTTCATAAACTCTTGAGTGACAAGCAAGTGGGAAATGAAATAAGTTCACATTAGCATTTTTTTGAACCACTGCAATGCGCCAGGCTCCATGGCAAGCTTTGGGGATCCTAATGTGGACAAGAGGGTCTTGAATCCGGCTTCTCCTCTCCGTCCCTTAATGCCTTGCCTTGGCCCAGGTCCCCATCATCTCTTTTGGGTCTTTGCTAGGCTGGGCTGTATGTTACCAGGATCTGGTCGCTCGACTTCTTGCTGCTGCTCCTAGTGTTATCTCCTAAACACCAAAGTTGATTAGGTCACTGCCGTCCCTGAAGATCTCTGTTGTTTCTCCTCCACCAAGACAATATCTACTTCCTTGGCCTCAGTTTACATCCTGATTGGGCTTCATTTTTTATCACTAGTTCCATATGTATGTATGCCAGGTTTCTGCTTCACTGAATTACTCAGTCTTCTCTGATATGGCAGGGAAGAGACCAGGTCCCAGCTCGGCCTCTGTACAAGTATGTCCTCAGCCTAGAAGGCCTGCCTCATCCTTCTTCAGCTTTGCTTAACCTTTCGGACCCAGCCCTGACATAGTCTCCTGCATGACTTGAACCCTCTCCTCCCACAGGAGAGTTAGTTTCTGTAACCTTGTCTGTTCCCACAGCACATTGTTCTTTCTTTGGACACGGTGTTTATTACTCTGTGAGCTGTTGAAGTGCTGGGATTACGTCATTTAGGGTAAGATAAGGAGGCTGTCCACCTAAGGAGGTGTAGTGGATTGAATGGTGGCCTCCAAAAAGATATGTCCACGTGCTAATCCCTGGAACTTGAGAATGTGACTTTATTTGGAAAAAGGGTCTTTGCAGATATAATTAAGTTAAGGATCTTGAGGTGAGATCATCTTGGATTATCTGAATGGTCCCAATTCAACAACAGATGTCTGCACAGAGGAGAGACACAAAGAGTAAGCCGTGTGAAGACAGAGGCAGAGATTGGAGTGTTGCAGCCGTGAGCTGAGGACCCCTGCAGGGAAGAGTCCCCTTCTAGAACCTTTGGAGGGAGTGACATCCTGCTAACACATTGATTTCTGACTTCCAGCCTCCAGAACCATGAGAGGATAAATTTCTGTTGTTTTAATCCACCGAGTTTGTGGTTAATTTGTTACAGCAGCCTTAGAATACTAATACAGAAGTTTATAGTACAGTGACTGGAACATAATAAAATATCACTGTCACCACCCTCAAAGACACTATTATCGCTATTATTTTTGTAACCAACCTAGCCTGGGACCTGGAAGGTAGTACCTGCTCAGAAAATAGCCTTGCCTGTTCACTTTCTAGTCTGGTGGCAGTGGTGGTGGTATGTATGAGAAAGAAGTGTGTTTAAAGGTGGTATCGAAAGAGAGCCAGAATAGAGCACCTCTTAGTTTTTTTTGTTTGTTTTAAATGTCTTTTTGTGTGTTTATGTGAAGGGCAGTAGTGGATGTTTTTAAGTTGTTTTTTAGAAACATTTTTACACATTTTAAAATAAATTGTCCTTTTAGAAGACTAACAGTAAAATGATGAGCAGTTATATTTCTAACAATAAAAAAATCTTAAAATGTTTCTTCTTTTTTCCTAATAAAACATTATTTAGCTAAAATTAATTTTGTGCTGGCCTTGGAACACAATTTAGAGAGGGACTTGGGAGCCACAAGGTAATTTATTTCATGTGCTACAAGGTACTTGAAAACCAAAAATTTCAAATAATCATAAATGCAGACTTGGTAGGTGTTATGTATTGTTTGTAAATTTTAGTTTGCCACTGGAAGCTAGGTCTATGACCTAATTTTTACTAAAGTTTTATAAATTGGTGTCGTAGTAATAAGAGCTAATGTTTATTGAGCTCTTACTATGTTCTAGGCACTGTTCCCAGCTTTTTATATGAATTAACTCATTTTGTTCTAGCTTTCCTAGTCTCTTCTCTATTCTCTTAACTCAAGAGGAAGCTGAGGCACAGAGTGGTTAAGTAACTTGCCCAAGGACATGATAGCTTAAGTGGCAGAGACGCAGAGTGGCCCTGGCTCATAACCTCCACACTCTCCTGACTCTCAGTGGACCCTGTCAGCCTTCATTGTCTAATACAGTCTGAAGCGGAGAATATCAGTAGATCTAAGCGAAGGGTCCTTATCCAATCCTATAGTGGCTCAAACTTTAGTGTGCTTACCCACGGAGATTCTGATTCCTGGGGATGGGGATAAGCATTTTTTTTTTTTTTTTTTTTCCTGCCGTACGCGGGCCTCTCACTGTTGTGGCCTCTCCCGTTGCGGAGCACAGGCTCCAGACGCGCAGGCTCATCGGCCATGGCTCACGGGCCCAGCCGCTCCGCGGCATGTGGGATCTTCCCGGACCGGGGCATGAACCCTTGTCCCCCACATCAGCAGGCGGACTCCCAACCACTGCGCCACCGGGGAAGCCCCGGGATAAGCATTTTTAATACGCACCAAGGTGGTTCTGACCGTACTTTGAGATGCCCTGGATCAGGTTCCAGACAGTCCTCATGGTTCATTTCACACGAAGGCTTGTGGTGGTGGCTTGTGTGCTTATGTTAGGCCATTCTTTGTGTATTATCTGTGTGCCAGGTGAGTCTATTGAATACATACACGGATCTAAACTTTTGCCTGAATGCCTGCCTTACTAATCACCTTTCTTTTATGGAGATGAATAAAAGGCCAGCATCAGAGGGATTTTTTTTTAACCTTTTGAATGAGCTTCGGAATAGGGTATATTCGATCTGAGGAAATCGTTATGATGGATGTAAGGTTTGTAGATGGAAGAAAATAATCATGACATAGAATTTCTACTCTATTGGGTGTTTTTTTTTTTTTTTTGGTATGTTTGTTTTTTGTTTAAAAGAAAATTTTAATGTGTACTGGACTTCACAGCAGAGCAGTAGTTTCATGATTTGGGTTACTCTGAATATTAACTGTGGACAAGGAAGGAGTCCTTGCTCTTAAGTTTGGGAAGAAACTTTCATGCCTCTGTACAACCCAAACCCCTGATTATGTGTGTTTTAGAATCTAGGGAGGACACTAAGCTTGCAGGTTTACTACTTCCGTATCTTAGTTGCATGTTGAACTGGCAAAATATGTTTTTCTTCCTCTTAGGGAGTCACGAATCGCACTGAACCAAAAAACGTCCAGCCATTTCTTCAGTTACAAGCAAAATGAATATTCCCATGCTGCTCCAACATCCTCATCGGGACTTCCTTAAAGTCCTTTTAAGAACACTTTACCGACGTTACCACTTCATCTTACCCTCAAGTACTCACCTCAGGTCAGGACTCCCATGTGCTCAGCCATTCAGTTATCTCGGACTCCATCATGCAAAGTGGATGCTGCCGTCAAATGGTTTAACAAGAAAATTATGTCTGCAAACAACCTTAAAGGAACAGACAGAAGGACTTTCTGATAAAGAACAAAGGCTTGTGGATGAGCTTTATACTGGTTTAATCCAAGGGCAAAGGGCCTGCTTGGCGGAGGCCATAACTCTTATAGAATCAACTCACAACAGGAAGAAAGAGCTAGCCCAGGTGCTTCTTCAGAAAGTGTTAGTCCGCCACAGAGAACAAGAGAAATTAAATAAAGGAAAACCACTAGCATTTCGAGTGGGTCAGTCTTTGTTTTTTTGGGTTTTTTTTGTTTTGTTTTTTGTCCAGTAAATATTTTTCTAAATTCTCTCTTCTTTTAAAATAAGTCTAAATAGCTTATGATCTAATGGGGATTTTTTTGTCCTTGCAGAATTTTGGAATGAATTTTGAATGCCTTTTCTTTGTAAATATTAGTCTTGTTACGTGGTGGGAAATGCAATGGCCATTTGAACGAAGGCTCTGTATTTTAAGAGAATAAGGTGAGATTCCTCTTTTGGCAGGGATCTCGCTGTGGCTCCCAGACCGGAAACGTGCGCAGGAAGAACTGTTCACCAGTTTACTCCTTTCTCTCAGTAGAACTTCTGCTTAATAGTCTAAAGTGACTTCCCTGCTGTTGTGGTTATAGCAACCATAATTATCCTTATCACATTTCAGAATTCTACTTCTTAGGTGTTTCGTTAGTCTTTTCTCTAAGCAAGTCTCACTTCTTTCAGATACTTTAAAAAATATATATTTATTTATTTATTTATTTTTGGCTGCATTGGGTCTTTGTTGCTGTGTGTGGGCTTTCTCTAGTTGCGGCGAGCAGGGGCTCCTCTTCGTTGCGGTGCGCGGGCTTCTCATTGCGGTGGATTCTCTTGTTGTGGAGCACGGGCTCTAGGCATGCGGGCTCAGTAGTTGTGGCACGCAGGCTCAGTAGTTGTGGCTCACAGGCCCTAGAGCGCAGGCTTAGTAGTTGTGGCGCACGGGCTTAGTTGCTCCGCGGCATGTGGGATCTTCCCGGACCAGGACACGAACCCGTGTACCCTGCATTGGCAGGTGGATTCTTAACCACTGTGCCACTAGGAAGGTACCTCAGATACTTGTTTATTAGAGTTTCTGGAAATGGCTTGGCTCTAAGCACAGCCAGCTCAATACCAAAATGTCTTTTAAAGGAGACACCATGTTCACTTGCTGTCTAAAAATATTAGGTGTTCACTTCTTGAACAGTTGACCTGTTTCTGTAATTGCAAATAAGCTTGTTATATTTTCGAAGCTGTGCATTATAGAACAATCTAGACGTGTTTGACCAGAAGGAATTAAGCAAGTTTTGGGTGGAGCGAGCGCCTTTCATGATGGCAAACTAGGTGATTCCAACCAACCCTCGCACTACAAACAACTTAAAATGGTGGACAAAGTGCATAAATTGTGTGAGGAATGGGTAAATATAGTTAAAAGTGGATTGGCATTACTTACGTCTCAGTTTATTTGCAGTATGGGGCCTAAAACCTCCTAGATTTTAGGGTAATGGGGCCTAATGCTTTAAAGATAATTTCCAAAAGAGCTCACCAACTGCTGTTTGTACTAGTCCACATTTCCCCCTCACCTTATTCGTCTGCCCTCACTGCGGGGGGACTCTTTCTGAGAGTACTGCGCTGGGTGTTAATACTCTTTATGTATTGTGGACAAAATAGCAAATTCCCAAAGAGAAATTCCAGTTATGACAGAGTGTTTACTTATTAGGCTGTAGAGAATCTTTGAAGAGAAAATGTCCAGAAATACCTAGAGTTAACCAGCAACTCATACATAACTAGCAACTCATAAATTTGCAGCACTATTCTGCTTCTTCCATCCGGACCTTATGAGGCCAGATAAACCTGAGTCTTTGTTGCAGTTGTTTTATCACCGTGGTAAATAAAAGCAACAAATGTTTATTCAGCACCCATTAAAACAGAGACCTGCCCTGAAGATTGTGGTATGTCGCCAAGCATACCATATGCCATACATACTTTATGTAGTTACAATTAAGTGCTTATGTTTTATAGATTTTATTGAACATATATATCTCCTGATGCCATGTGCTATTCTAAACATATTGCAAAATTAACTCATCTGATCCTCACAATAACCTGAAGAAATAGGTGCTCTTATATCCATTTTATGGCAGAGTGTACTCAGGTACAGAATGATTACGTGACTTGCCCAAGATTACACAGCTCATAAGAGGTAGAGCTAGAAATAGACCTGGCCGACTGGCTCCAGAGTTTGTGTTCTTGCCTGCCATGCTCTGCTAGCTCTCCAAGTAGGGGGATTTCCTGCCTTGCTTAAGATTTAAAAAAAAAAAGTTTTTTTTTCAGGATTCAGTTTATATTATTTTCTTTGAGTTATGAGTGAGATGAAAAAATTGTATTTCATAAGTAGAAAATTATTTTCTCAATCACTGGGAATTTCTGGAGTAATGAGTTGTTCTTCCAGTGGAAACATAGCATGGACAGAATCGGGGTGGGTGGAATAATCATTGATCATGATGAGAGGTGGGCAGATGTTGGAGAAATTCAGCACATTAACAACACAGGCAATGAAGTCTGCCCCAAAAGCTCTACGTTATACTAAAAAAGGCAAGTCACATTTTGTAATTTTTAAAAGTGAATCTGGTGAACATATGGAACTCTGACTTCTCTCCCTCCTGTATCCCTGTTACTCAGGGACTAGATAAATAGGTAGATTTTCGTTTACTGCTTTAGGAAGCGTTAAACTACATTAATGACGGTTTTAATAAGGAGAAGTAGAAGGTAGTCTGGTATTTTAATAGAACTCATCATGGTGCTGATTTCATTTATTTCATTAAATTACAAAGTCTGTCTCCACCATAGGATTGTCTGGGCCTCCTGGTGCTGGGAAGTCAACCTTTATAGAATATTTTGGAAAAATGCTTACTGAGAGAGGGCACAAATTATCTGTGCTGGCTGTGGACCCTTCTTCTTGTACTAGCGGTGGTGAGTATTGCTGCTGCTTCGTAACTTGCAGAGGGGGGCCTTGTGGAGTGGAGCCGGCTCTCTGTTGCAGTTTAGGGGGAATCTGCACAGACGGGTGTCTTCTAACCTCTGGCTGAGTTTGGTCTCGGTGAAGGAAGGGAGGTGGTGGGTGTGAGGTGGAGGCTGAGGGAGGTGTTTGGGGCATCGGGTTCTCCAGGGGAGGTTAGCTTACAGGTAACCTAGGAGTAGCCTGGGTAGGTAGAGAACTAGGAGAACAGGTGCCAGAAGTTGGAGATGATCAAAAGTCAGTTTCACCCCTTTGTCTATCATACCTGAGGCTCAGCCCCTTTTCCTTCTATTGTTTTTCCTGCCTCCATCAGCCCCTACGCAGTTCAGAAAATGGCTTCTTACTCAGTAATTTCCCCATATTGTAACGTCTCTTCTCAAGCTTAAAAAAAATCTTCCTGCTCTGTTTAACTTGTCACCTGTTTATATTACATGTTCAGTTAAACAGAAAGCTCTTAGAGGGACCATGTGATATACTCTGTTCCTGGCAGCACTTAGCCTAGTACATGGCACACAGTGCTCGGCAATTACTGATTTGAGGTCATGCAGTCACTCAAAGTTTAACTCGCAGCTCATCAGAGATAAAACGAATAAACTAAGTTCCCCAAAGGATCATTTAAGGGAAACATAAATCATACTATATAAATACTCAGGAAAGCCTTTTCTTCCCTTACCCCTCTTGATGATTGAAGCATCTCACATGACAGTTATTCATTTAACAAGTATTTCAGCACCTATCGTAGGCGAGGCCCTGTACAAAAAAGGTACTGTGTTGTTTAATGTTGAATAAGATGCCATTCTCTTGGCCTTATGGAGCTCTATATCTCACGAGGGAAACAGACAGGTGCACGCAGGCCATTACAATGTAATGTGTGTTGCGAAGGGGGAAATACAGGGTGTTTTGTGGAAGGGTTTGGTTTATATCCTGTGGGTTTAATGCTAAAAAATAAATACAGTATCATATTTCAGGGGCTTTAGGTCAATAGAGAGGTGGACAACAATTCCTGTTACCATCCATTGAGAAATTTAGCTGAGAACATTCACAGTTTTTGATTCACTATAATGAAAGGGTTAACCGTAAAGTAAAATTTATACTCGCAAAGTTCAAGATTAAATCCATGTCAGTGTATTATCCTTTTTTATAGTCTAAGAACTTTGTGAAAGGTAAGCACTTGAACAAAGAATTTATTTATAGTGGCCTTCATTTTCACACAGGTGCAGAGACTTTCCTCCCACCTTCATAATACTCTAGAATACTTGCAATAGCAAAAGAAAACAATAGTTTGAGATAAGAGAAGCGGAAATGGTGACATGAGATAACCTGATGGAAGTTACATAGCTATGTGGTTCCTCACCTTTCTCAGACCAAAAATGAAGGTCCTTTTCTCAGGTAAAAATACAAAGACTCTGAAAGAAAAGACTGTGCAAGGATAAACAGGACACTCTTACCTTTTCATTGTAACAGTAGATACATTTGAAAATAGCATTCCATTGAAGTTTGAGAAGCCTGTAGTCAATCCTTGTCGTGCTTCGGACTCACGGGCCCCCTGCAGTGGGAGCTTGGAGGTCTCCCTGAGGCTCTGCAGTCACCAGTTTTAGATTCACTGGCAAAGACAATTATATGGGAGAGTAATTTCATAAATGTTTTAGTTCGGTGTGTTAGGATCTATAGGAAAATAATTTAAAGTGTAGCTTTGGCAGACTGTTGACTTACACAGAGATGATTTCACCCAGAAAATTACTTTAGAACAAAGTTTTATGTACAGTAAATAAGGTAGTCGAGCTGTTGGTAGGTGTATGCTGGGGCATTAGAACCTATGAGAACCTATGAGAAGTCGAAACTGGAATCATCAAGGAAAAGGTCATATCTGTAAGGGACTCCTCAGTGTTTAGCAGCAGCTTTGGAAAGGTGAGCTCTTGAGCAGAAATTAAAATTCAGGTTAGAACAGCACTACACTTTCAGATGTTACTACGTGGCTAAAGGAGAGAAGGTAAAGGTAATTTCACTAATTCCGGGGCTTTCAGTCTTCTAGAATTTGCAGGTACTGGTGTTTGCCAGAAAACTGCAGTACACACGGAAACAGCAACGGTTCTATTCCACAGGCATTACATTAATTGCCTACTGTGAACAAGCATTCAGTGTACAAGATATGTAAGACATGGTCCTATACACAAGCAACTCAGTTAAAGCAGAGTTTCTCAACCTTGGCACTGATGACATTCTTTGTTGTGGGCAGCTGTCCTGCACAGGGAAGGATGCTTAGCAGTATCCTTGATCTCTACCTACCAGATGGCAGGAACACCCTTCCCTCCAGTTGTGACAAGTACAAATATCTCTACACATTGCTAAGTATCCTCTGGGGGAAAAAATCACTCCCAGCTGAGAACCATAAACACAGCAACGTTAAGAGGACAGTAAAGAAACCACCCCAACTGGAATGGAAGATTGATTTGGGGGTTAGTGAAGCTGAAATTGGACAGGTAAGGTAGGCTACATTCTGAGGGCCTCCAATGCAAGACTGAAGAATCTAGATTTGAACCTCTGGTCAGTGGGAGCCATTATAGGTGCTGAGGGGCTTAAAACATTAAATAGATGAATTTGGCATCGTTACATACATGGTGTTGGAAAAAAGCTTAATAATATGAAATACAATTTGAGGTTTGGGGAGAAATGTCCTGAAGCACTTCCCCTAGGAATTGGCTGATTGATAATTGGCCCTTATAGGTGTTCCATGATTATAAAATGTAACTGTGTGTTTTAGGATCACTCTTAGGTGATAAAACCCGAATGACTGAGTTATCAAGAGATATGAATGCATACATCAGGCCATCTCCTACTAGAGGTACTTTAGGAGGTGTGACAAGGACCACAAACGAAGCTATTCTGTTGTGCGAAGGAGGTGGATATGACATAATTCTTATTGAAACCGTGGGTGAGTGTGATTTTCTATTCTATAACAATAAAATACTATTAAAATGAATGCTGCATAAAGATGAATGACGGCTAATTTCATTTTGTTCATTCAGCAGATACTTACTAAAGAGGTAATTAAATATAAGCTATCTCAGACTCTGTAGGAGATATGAGTATATAGACTATAATCCTTACCCTTAAAGAAAAGAAAGGTGAGCCCTGTGTCTGGATAACTGTTATACAAGGTGGTATGTTTTCAGTGCTGGAGAAACTGTCAGCATTAGGATGACCTATGGAAACACTAACGTAACACCCATTTTATTTAAGCAGAGTCATATGTCTGCAGTATTCACTGAGAAGATTAGCGTAGTTGGGCAACTCATGTTTTATTTCACCTTTATATCCCTAGCACGTGGTTACACACAATGAAAATACTGAAAAGGAAACCCCAAGAACTTCACATTCCCGTGGAGAGACAATTTGTTATATTACTGTGTGATCAATGTTTGTGACACAACCTGATTCAGATTTGGGGGATCAGGGAAGACTTCAGGGAGGAGGTGACAGTTGAACTCAGTTTTTTTTTTTTTTGGCTGCGTTGGGTCTTTGTTGCTGTGTACGGGCTTTCTCTAGTATGTGGCGAGCGGGGGCTACTCTTCGTTGCGGTGAGCAGGCTTCTCATTTCAGTGGCTTCTCTTGTTGCGGAGCACGGGCTCTAGGTGCGCAGGCTTCAGTAGTTGTGGCGTACGGGCTTAGTTGCTCCACGGCATGTGGGATGTTCCCGGACCAGGGCTCGAACCTGTGTCCCCTCCATTGGCAGTCGGATTCTTAACCACTGCGCCACCAGGGAAGCCCCTGAACTCAGTTTTGAAGGGAGGGTTGGAGTTAAGTAAAGTATGGGCTAAGGGGCCTTGACCGAAACACAGGAGTGAGCGAATGTGGCCCAGTCAGGGCACTGCATTTTGCGCAGGATCCTTAGAGCATGGAGCACGAAGGCAGGGAGTGAAGACGTGGGCTAGAGTCCAGGAGTCCATCGTCTAAGGGCAGATGGAGGAAAAGTTGCCTGAGTAGCGGTAGGAGAATCAAGGGGGAAGAGGACCATAAAATCACACATATTCATGGAAAGTTGTGTTTGGCTGCATGTTTCAGAGACTCAGACTATCTCTGACTCATGGTGGTTCTACAGCGCCGCGGGGGGGGGGGGGGGGGGTCTCCCTGCCCTCCATTCTTAGCACTTAGTTTCCAGCCTCAAGGTTGCCCATGGATAAAAGACGGCTGATGAAGCTCTAACTCACCTCCCTGTTCCAGGTAGAAGGAAGGAAGAAGGGGGAATAAGGAAGGGGAAGGGGTCGGAAGCGGTATACCTCCTGGCTGGCTTTGCCCTCTTGAAAGAACTCTCCTGGAAACGCCATCTAGTGACTTCTGCTTTCACACATTAACATCTCTGGCTGACTGGTGATGTGGGGGGTCTCTGGGGGGTCTGGTGATGTGGTCTTTCACCTGGGACACTGATGCCCCTGGTGAACCTGGGGGAAGGAAATAGGGAAGGATGAACATTGCGTGGGCGACCAGAAGTCTCTGCCCCACCGAGGAAGGAGAGAGTTGGAGAGGAGGTTTAGTGGAGTGGGGCACGTGGAAGTCAGATTTAAGTGGACTGCGGTTAATGTGAAGTAGTCGCGTGAGGACAGTGGGCATAAGTTGCCTTTTTCCAGACATTCAGCTATCAAGAGGAAGTGAGAAATGCGGGGATGAGGGCAGGAGGTTGGGAGTTTTTGTCTTCTTATTTTCTGGTCGTGTTTGGTTTTCAGATGAGAAAGACTTGAGCCCAACTCATGGGATGTTTGAGGGACGGGAACCTGTAGACAAGGGGAGGTTGGAGATAAAGCAGAGCCGGAGCCCAGGGGAGGTGGGAAGGAAGGAGAGGCTTCTGACACTGGGCCTGGCAAGGAGGCAGCAGGGCGGAGCGTGTGTTGTTTCTGCTTCTCTGTGGGGTTGTGGGGGGAGGCTGAGGACGTCCTTGCCTCTGTTTGGTCGTGAAGCAGGTGCCGCGGTCATCAATCATCGTCATGTGGGGAGATTATGGGACAGTGAACGTCTGTAGTAGCCACTGTGGGAAACAGGAAGGAAGCTGCCCGAGGGCGTTCAGGGGCATCGCTTGTCCTGTACCAAGAGGAAGATGTAGCCGATGTTGGAGCCCATGACCCTCTGGTGGCGCCTGTCCACACAGCTGAGGGATTTCTCCAGGACACTTAATGGAGGAGAGACACGGGCAGTAGGACTGATCCACGGGTGGGCTTTGCAGGGTGATAGAGGGATCAGGAGGCAAGGAAGCTGCCAGACATGGTCTAAGGTTGGAATCAGGCGCTCAAGCTGCTCACCCACGAAAGGGGAGCCGAGAAAGAGCAGCGGGAGCGAGGGGAGAGCGCAGGTCTTCACCTTCTCCATCCAGTCAGAGACCACGCTGGTGGGAGCGGGGCTGGACAGAGGTGGGGAGGACCCCAGCTTTGCTCTTCGGGCGAGGCAGCGGCGTTTAATACATTGTTCAGAGGTGGTGGTTAGAGCGGGGTCAGGTTGAGTGCGTGATGGCGAGTATGAGCAGATGAACTGGAGCGGAGGTGGTGGTCAGGGGAGTTGAGGAGGTCAGATTCCCGTGAATGTTTCAATATACACGTGTGATTTAAAATTCCAGGTGTGGGGCAGTCGGAGTTTGCTGTTGCCGACATGGTTGACATGTTTGTTTTACTACTGCCGCCAGCAGGAGGAGATGAATTGCAGGTAATTATTTTGACTTTTTCACCCCCCGAAACACAAAGTGTACATCTCTGAAAGTACAAATTCCCCATGTTGTGGGTTTTTTGTAAATTAAGTTGATATTAGCGTAGGGAAAGAAACATCATTCACGTTGGCTAAAATACCCGAGTCAAAGGCAAACTCTCTATTTTTTTTTTTTCCAACTTATAGTAGTAGAACTTATGACCTTGAGCTAATGACACAACTTAGTCTTTCCACCTGTAACGTGGGGGATAGCTCCAGCCAAGAGACCACTGTTACATGGGTGTTTGTGCTACAGCTGGTTGAAAGGTCCTCATGAGATATTCCTTTGCTTTTAACTGGGATCCCACTGTCCTAGTTTATATACTGTAGAAAGGGTTCTTCCTTTCCTCCTGCAGCGCAGTCTGGCATTAACTCCCTGGACTTAGCACAGCCTGCACAGGCTGAGGGCATCATCCTCCCAAGACTGCTTTCACTCCGGACGCAAGCAGCAGGCCCGGGGGTTCCCAAGTCACGCATGCCTCTGTGGGAACCCGCAGATGTGCGGGTTCCCACTTACCCCTCAGGTGCGACAGTTCACTAGGATGACTCACGGAATTCAGGAAAGCACTGCGGTACCAGCTAGAGTTTTATTATGAAGGATGAAAATCAGGACCAGCCAAATGAAGAGACACAGAGAGAGAGGTCTGGAAGGGTCCCAAACTCGAAACTTCTGTGTCCTCAGGACACATTTCCCTTCTGGCACATGCACGTGTTTCACCAGCCAAGGAGTGCTCCTGAGCTTCAGTGTCTGCAGTTTTTGTTGGGGTTTTATTATGAAGGCATGATTGACCAAATCACTATCCACGTGATTGAAGTCAGTCTCCAGCCCCGCCCTCCCCAGAGGAGGTCAGGCTGCTAGTGCATGGCTCAAAGCCCCAACCCTCTAATCACGTGGTTGGATCTACTGGTGTGCTCAGCCCCCATTCTGAGTGATCTTGCATAAACCCAGGTATGGTCCCAGGCATGGTCCCAGGCACCCACGGCGAACAACAAAGTCACTCCTATCACTCAGGAAACTCCAAGGATTTAGCAGTTTCCTCCCAGGAACCTTGGGACAAAGACCAGATAAATGCTTTTTTTTAAAAAAATTTTTATATTTATTTATTCATTTTTGGCTGCGTTGGGTCTTCGTTGCTGCACACGGGCTTTCTCTAGTTGTGACGAGCGGGGGCTACTCTTCATTGTGGTGCGCGGGCTTCTCACTGCGGTGGCTTCTCTTGTTGCTGAACACAGGCTCTAGGCTTCCGTAGTTGTGGCACACAGGCTCTAGAGTGCAGGCTCAGTAGTTGTGGTGCACGGGCTTAGTGGTTCCGCGGCATGAGGGGCCTTCCCAGACCAGGGCTTGAACCCGTGTCGCCTGCATTGGCAGGCGGATTCTTAACCACCGCGCCACCAGGGAAGCCCCCAAATTCTATATTACACAACACCTCCCCTTCAGCTGAAAAATTCTGAAAAACTAGTGACATCAAACTCTGGATGCTGCAGTTTAGAAACATTAACTATTAGAATTTAACCACTGAAAGTTACGTTTTAAAATATTTGAAAAGAAATTTTAGTCTTAGATAGCAAAATCTTCATTTTCCAAATAAGGTTTGGCCTTAGGATTTTTCTGTGTTTTCACGCAACATAATTTAAATCAAGAGATTGAGGTGTTTTTAGCCATCAGGTTATTTTTTCCTCAAATGCTACATACATTTAAGGAAAACTTCAAAGACTCTTTCTGGAAATGAACATGTTAGTGACGTAGGTGTTTTCTTTTTTTTTTTTTTTGTGGTACGCGGGCCTCTCACTGTTGGGGCCTCTCCCGTTGTGGAGCACAGGCTCTGGACGCGCAGGCTCAGCGGCCATGGCTCACGGGCCCAGCCGCTCCGCGGCATGTGGGATCTTCCCGGACCGGGGCACGAACCCATGTCCCCTGCATTGGCAGGCAGATTCTCAACCACTGCGCCACCACGGAAGCCCGGTGTTTTCTTTTTTAAGCACCTGAATGATGGATGGTTTTGCATCCTGCAGGGTTAGCTCCCGAGAAGTGGAATCTATCATGAGGCAGTGTGAACTGTCTCCTGCCATTCAATCATATTGTGTCTGGATGATATATTTACTCTAATTCTGAATGTATTTCAGCGTGTTAGTCTCCAAATTTGAAAGAGATATTACAGATGACTTCCATAATCCCAAGAGTCGGTGCTTTTGAGTAATTTCTGTCAATAATTGGGATTCCTAGAACCCAGGGCTTGGGAGGGTGCAGAGAAAAAGTTAGAGTGTATGACTCTCCAAACCTTAGCGGTAACTGGTGTCCCATTTTTGATGGCATGAAATATTTTAGACGAATCAGTTTCTTTTCTTTTTCTCACCAGGGTATTAAAAGAGGTATAATTGAGATGGCAGACCTGGTGGCTATAACCAAATCTGATGGAGACTTGGTCGTGCCAGCTCGAAGGATACAAGCAGAGTACGTGAGCGCGCTGAAATTACTCCGCAGGCGTTCAGGAGTCTGGAGACCAAAGGTCAGCTTGCATTCTGTTCTGCAGTTTTCACCCTGAGTGGACTGTGCCCGTTAGAAGAGAGGATGTGAGTCCCAAGCTAGACATATGATCAATCTTTGCTTGTAGATGAGATTATAATTTTAAAAACTGTGGCAAAGCCACAGAGTGTGTAGTTACGATTTTAAGTATAATCCTTCAACCACCAGAGGCCAAAAACTAGATGTGAGGCGATAAATTTGATAGCTTAATGCTTGGCTCAAGCCATTTGGATGTGATGACAAATCCATTCTGCAAGGAACCATCCTGAAGATTATGGCGCAATTAATGACTTGACCATCTAGGTTAGAGTTTGAGTAGGAGAGAACAGGCTTTTGATGTGGTAACCTTCCTTCCCATTATGGTTGTCGGGTGATGTTTTCGATAAGGAAAAAAAAAACCCGTAGTAAGTGATGCAGAAATACTGATGCGGACGCTTTATCTGTAGCAGGGCCCTGTGTTATTAAAGAGTAACCTATAATCACTATAACGAGAGCAACGGTGACACTTCTTGCTGTCGGCTCCCGGCACGTTGTCTGTGCTGCGTCTGGAGCTGTCTAGTCCGTGCAGATACCCATGCTCGTAGCACCTGCTGAACCAGGCAATTTGACGGAGAGAACGGGGCTATTCTCTCAGCTCGGTTTCATTTTCTGGCTCTCAGCCCTCAGGGAAACCTACGTAGCATTGCCCTTCTCATCCTAGTGACCATTTCCCAGTTCATCCCTGTGGTCTCTGAAGACCATTCGAGCAATCCCCAGTCAAAATAAACCTCTGAGCTAAAAAATACGACCTTGGATCAGTGTCTTATTTCTGCTTCGCACTTAGTAACCTTAGTAAGTTACCTTAGTGTATTTCTCAGCGTGTCTACTTTGACACGATGATAAAATGTCTCATTTTTGTCGCCTACCTATTGCCATAGACTGTAAGACTTAATTGGCAAATGCCAGAGTCCCCATGACAATGTTTTCTATCGTTTTAAGTAAAATAGTTCTGGTTCTTCCCTTTTCAACAGGTAATTCGTATTTCTGCCAGAAGTGGAGAGGGGATCACTGAAATGTGGGATACAATGAAAGAATTCCAGGATGTGATGCTTGCCAGTGGGGAGCTGACTGCCAAGAGACAGAAGCAGCAGAAAGTTTGGATGTGGAACCTCATTCGGGAAAATGTGGTAGAACATTTCAGGACCCACCCCACAGTCCGGGAACAGATTCCTCTTCTGGAAAAAAGGGTTCTCAGTGGGGCCCTGTCCCCAGGACTAGCAGCAGACCTGTTGTTGAAAGCTTTTAAGAGCAGAGACTAATGAAATACATCCTATCCAATAACTTTATATATCTTTTCATACATGTAAAGTTATTGGATAGGATGCACTTCATTTTAATAAAGTATTTTAATATTAAAAGTCACTTGCACGCTTATATTTTCAGTAATTCTCTTGTGGTGCCCTCGGCCTCCTTACCTGTGAACTGCGCTTGGAAAGTGGAAGAGCGTTAGATACGGATGGCAAAGGTCAGGCAGTCAGCAGCATTTGTAAGGTAACTGCTGTACGTTACTCAGCTCCATTACTTTCTGTTCTTATACACGGTGGCCTGTAGGATGGTGTCTTCTCATCAGTCACGAGCAGAGAAAGCTGAGGAGGACAGAAAAAGATCATGTACCTTAAAACGCTTTCTTTGATCCTCTATTCTCTGGGTTTCCAGAGAAAATGTAAGCAAGAGTGACCACATTTTTGAAGTCTTACTTGAGGCTAGAATAATACACAGTGGGTTTCTAAGAGCTGAAAATCGTGATCGACATTTAGTATGCCAGACTACCTAGGAATTTCTGAAATGGCCATGTACACGAGTAACAAAACAGTTGGAATGTGTAGGGATGTGAACACAGTTTTACAGTCTGTCGTCTAGACTTGCGGACTCCCCACGGTAGGTAGGAGAGCCCAAAGGGAACTGGGGAAATCAGCCACAAATAAGGTGGGTTGTAATCAAAGGTTTTTGCTTCTCTTCCTTCTTGGCCATTTGACTTCCTATTAGCATCTTAAAAATCTACTTTATTCTTGATGGTGAGGAACAAGTTTTGTCCTCTGGAGGAAGCATGGCACAGTGATTGAGGGCTTGGGTTCTGGCATTGGGACTGGTGGGTTTAAACTTTAAACCCAGACCAAGCACTTATCGGCTGTGTGAGTTTGGACGAATAACCTACCTTTCTCAGTTTGAGTTTCGTCCCTGGTAAAATGGAATTGACATACTAACTTTATAGGGTTGATGAGGATAAATGAGATAACTCAGGAAACTCGTTTTGCTGTCATGATGGTACCTGGGAAATACTGAGAGTCCTCTTGCCATTATTATTATTATGTTAAAGTTATGAGTATGTGAAGCTGTACAGACCTTATAAAAGGTTCAGTTTTCTCCCATGATCTTATTACTACCATCATGCTCTTGTGATATTTTATGATAGTCTTTAAAGCACCCATTCTAGTTAATTCTTTGAGTATATTTTACACTATTTGATGGTAGTTATAACTGTGTACATTTGAATAAAATCATTTCTAACCATAAAATTTCTCCATTGCACAAAATGTCATTCTAGAACTTTCAAACATATTCTATTCTGAGAATATTTGACACAGTATGTCCGCTTTCATTGTGACTTACCCTCCTACCTAGAATCGAATTTCTTGATTATTATTTTAGCAAGCATTCCTTTACGTTTTTTTTTTTAAGGTTTGTGTTATTGGCATACCTACCTCATATTTGAGGATTAGGAGAAACTTGGAAAGGTCATCCAGCCAATTCATCTAATTTCAGAAAGGACCACTATTAAGCCACCCTATCAGATGAAAAACTGTTTGTAGAATCAGAGAAGGAATTCCATAACTTCCCTTAGTAAGCCGTTACGGGGAATGACAAGCCTGTCATTTGTGGTACAGTGGAAGCCACAGCGGGGCACACGCGCACTGTATTACAAACAAGGCAGAGAAAGGGTGGCATTTGTTAGCCCTAAATTTTTCTATGCATTTCATCTTAGTTTGAACTGCTTTTAAGTGTTATAAATATAGTCATAAAAAGCATTAGAAAACCTCCCTTGTGTTTCTTATGTTGTTGTACCATTGGCTATGATATAGAGACCAATTTCCAAGGTATTATTTACCTTTATTTCTGTTATTTGCTACACTGGAAGCTGTATAATATAGTAAAAGATTTGTGGCCTTAAAAAAAAAATTAATGCTCACTTTTATTAAGCTCAAAAATGCCATCGCTCCTTCCCACCTGTACTTCTACTGTGCTGGACCCCTAACCTGGTCAAAAGTACAGGTTTAGATACCCGCAGAGTCAAATCTCAGCTTTGTCACTAACCAGCCATATGATTGGGGCGCAGGTTATTTCTCCTCTGTATGCACCAGTTTCCTCATCTGTAAAATTAGGGTAAGAATAGCTGCTTTACAGAGTTGTTGAAATAATTAAATGAGATACTGTATTTAAATTGCTTGGCACTCAGTAATTGGTAGGTGTTGTTAGAAATGTTACAGTAGGCACTCTTTGTTTTACAAAACAGATTCTCGTCATTTAATTTTAGTTTGGCCAGACTACTTAGTCTCCCTGTGCCTCAGTTTCCTTATTATTAAAGGGGTTGACAATGGTGTTCACCCAGAGTTCCTGAAATGACTAGGTTAGTTAATACACAGAGTACCTGAACGTAGTAAGTGCTAAATAAATATTTAACGATGGAGAGTTGCTACCTCTTAGAGTTGTTGTAAGGATTAAATGAGTTCATCTTCCTCTGTCTTAAAAGGGTAATTCTTTTCTGAAAATAAACCTGACTTCGCTTTTGTCAAAAGCATAATTACCATTAATTTCCGTAGGTGGGTAAAAATGTGCTGTGTTCCAAACTGAGCTCCAAAATTGACAGACATTTTGCTAAAACAATACCAAATTTCAATAAAATGACTGCACTTTCTTGTACAGGTACAGCCGCAGTTAACAGTAGCTATCACAGTGCAACCTAGCAGGGAATTGTCTCTTCATAATCACCAGGATGGCTATTACCTCTTTCCCTAAGCTCTTGTGGCTATTACCCAGTATACACTGAGGACAAAAGCTCATGAACCACATACATGTGATCCTCAGTGTTTATGTTATTAAGTCTTTAATGCAGGAAGAAAACAAAACAGGAAGAATCAGTGACAACAATTCTAACATGGCACTCATCCAGCAGATTGCCGTCATAGAAGTCACGATGCTACTGCCAAGAACTGGTAAACTGCAAGGGCTTCGAGAAGAGAAGCAACTCCTGTGGTCTATACGTCCATGCAGATGGTGGAGCTCAGCTGCTCCTGGGCAGTCCACGTGGGGCTTCACAAGCACAAATGCTTCCTAAGGCAAACTTTATGACACTCCTCATAAAGTCCAGTTCTCCTCACCTAAGGGGTACATCTTGGGGTGCCACTGTGACCCATGTAGTGTGTTAGAAAACTCACTAAATGTCAGCGTCATTATTCAGGGAAGACTTGGAAAATGATGAGCAAGTCGAAATTTTCCTTGAAAAAGAACCTTCAGAATGAGACTCTAGACTAGTTGGCTTTCTTTCCTTCGTTGTAGTATTTTGGTTACTTGGTTACTAAATTTATGAACTTTTAAAACCCATGCAACATGAATTTGTAATTCCTGCCCCATGAGGTTTATGTAAGTACACTTTTTGGTCATTAGTGGTATGTTTGATAACAGAATATTAGAATGGCACAAAAGCTGTTATACAATATTGGATGCTTTTTTTTGATTCCAGAAAAAATTCAACTTGGTCATGTAAAATGTAGATGATGCTATTGTGAGTCAAAGTACATTAATATTTACCTGAAAATTGATGCATAGAGGTGCCCTGGGGGCAGATAATTTTGCTGAGCCCCCTCAGCTTCTTGACAGAACGGGGTGAGGGCACATCTAAGTCGGTAAACTATTCTACTCTCAGCAAGTCTAAATGCTTAATCAGTTAATGCTGCTTTTAACCAACACAGAGGCAATCATGCAACCTCGTCCTCAAAGCTCTGTACCGTCCACCTGGCTGATCTGAGGTATGGTTAGAATTCTACAGAGGGATATCTTACGATGATATCTTAAAGCCATTTATTGGGCCCATGTTTTGGTGGCAAATCTTGTTACATGTGGAACCTAACTATTCAAGGATCAACACTGCCTTCTTATGAATAGAGTCACTTTTGCACCCAAATTTTGTTGACTCAGGATTCCGTCACATCAGGCAGGACCACAGACCCCTCAAGTACTTTTGGAAGTTCTAGGGGTTCCTCACTGATTCACCAACAAGCTTAATTCTTGGGTGCAGCTTACTCCCCACAGGCTTCTGTTGGGCTCCACTGTTGTAGCTGCCGCTGTTCCTGTAGGAGAACGCTGCCCTGCTTAGATGGTCCCAAACCGTGAAACTCCTAAGTTGCCGAAATAGTGCGTGTTCACAGAGCACAGGATCCCTGCCTCTCCTCTCACAGGGGCTGGTCCATAGGGCTGGGGTCGGGACCCACTACCACAGCATCTCTCATTGAGCTCAGCTCTCCTGTCTCTTCCCCCAGCATACAAGCCCACAATCTCTGCAGAAAACTTCCCCCACACAAGCCCCCTTTTCAAAATGTCTGTCAACCCCTGCAAAGATGCCTGGGTAGTTGGCAGTCTCTCCTTGTCTGGCAGTATCATCTTCAGTTGAGTCGTGATCTCCCAGCTTCACATATATATGATTGCTAATATTCTATCAACAACCGCTTAAAGGTATTATGACTCCCATTTTACAGGAAAAGGGATTGAGCAATAGGAATATTAAGAAATTTGTCTAAATTCACTGAGCCTAAATGTGATACATTATATACATTAGATTTAAAAAAATACTATTTTCCAGTTGCTCAGAGTACCTTATGAACCTTATTTCATACTTTCCATAAGATAGTTCAGGTATTATCTTTATTTATGGATGCCTCTGTGGTATAGAATGGGTAAGGGATTTGTACCTAATTCAGATGGTAAGATCCTGCTCAGTATGTTATCTTTAAGGCCTTTCTTCTCTGTAACCTCATATATCTTAGATTTTGCTCTTTTGGAGAATGGTGCCTCAAGGTATTTCTTTTCCAGTAGGCTTTTCTGCTTATGGTTGAAGATAATATTTTAGACATTACAAAACAAAACTTAACGTCAGCTCTGTATTAGCCAGGACTCTTGTCCAGAAATGACAGAAACCTACTAGCTTGGGCAAAAAGAGGAATTTATTGGCTCATCTAATCATTCAGGGAGAAGCATAGGGGTGCAGCAAGCTTCAGGGCCACAAACAAAGCTAGGATTCTCCATCGCTTCCTCTCTGTGTTTTGACATCATTCTCCACGTAGCTGGAGAACTAGCAACCGGCGGCACTCAGGTCCAGGGGAAGGGCTTCCCCTGTCTCCAGAGATCCAGCTCTGAGAGTCTTGGGGAAACACTCAGACTGGCCTGCCCGACAAGTCATAGGTCTGTCTCCGTGGCCAGTGGTGTGGGGTGTTATGATGTTATGACTGACTGGAAACTTCTGGAGTCAGGGGAAGACCCATTGTCCAAGATAAGTGAGTTGCTAGTCACAGAATAAAGTAGAATGCCAGGCAGA